TAAGGCTGTAATGGAATGGCTACAGTTCGTACGCTTGCGAGCACGAACTAAGGAACCATTACATGATCTGAATAATCCTTATTCCCAAACCGACCTTTTCAATTTATAGATAACGACTATTTCCGTCAGGGAATAAGCTAGGTAAAGAGGCCAAATTCACTTTGTAGCATCTCGATTATTCTAGTGATAGTTCGATATGTAATGCAAGCGCACAAATGATGGATAGCCTTTCTCCCATTCTCATATCGATAATCATAATTACGAAAATTGCGAAAATCAATGTTCCAGCTCCAAGAAAGATCTTATAAACGATGTAAATACTTCAAGCAAAGAAAAAGGGCTTACTGAAACGTAGCAAAAACTAAGGAACATGTACTCGAAAGGTATCACAGCAAATGTGGTAGAAAAACTAGCTCACCATGACTTCGGGGATCGTATAGCCGTGGTACCGCATCTGTGTTGCTGCTGATGACTAACCCTGATTTTTGATTAACATCTATGCTCGTGAAGGCCTTCAATCCACGAATCCTTGACACTTCTCCAGCTAAAAACGTGCACTTCAGAAAACACATGGGTCTTGTAAAATTCAAAACTGCAAGAAAATATTTCGCTCCCAATTAAACACCATGACTTCACCTAACTGCAGGTCCCATACAGCAATACTATGATCCCACGAAGCAGATATTACGTGACTTTCATTGTAAGGGCACCATTTCAATCCAACAACAGCATCTTTATGACCACCTAATGTAACCATTGGAACCTTCAATAAGCATTATAAAAACCACTGAATACTTAATCCTTCGAGTAAGGAACCCACCTTCGTGATGAAATTTTCTTTTCGCTTTTTTGGTTTGTTTTCACTTCTCGCATCTTTCTCGAATACTGTCGATTCATCACCTTAAAAATACTTGATGCTGAGTCAGTACGAAAATTCGCTACTCAACACTTTAGGAAATCAAAAAGAAAAGAAACTATAATGAAACTCGCCTTTCTCAAGATTCCAAACTTTGATATTCGAATCAAATGCACCAGAGACTAAACGAGTACAGTCTACATTAGCGTCTACACATTCAACACTCCGCTCGTGACCACGGAAGACAGTCTAAAAGAAAAAAGAGATCTTTTACGACCAACATTCACTGTAACAACTTCTCTGCATACTCTATCCCCAAAGAGGAAATACGATGGAAGAAGGATCTCAAAAATCTTCCAAAACAGAAAGCCTTTTTCTGATACGAACAAGAAAATTTATTTCTGGAGAAAGCAACAGAAGAGTGCGAGTTCCTTCCTTAAACCTAAGTTGACCCTCACGTTCGAAGCTAACTTGACGAGAGGCAAACAATGAATTTTATGCACTCGGGAGAGTCCGAGTGTTAGATTTCCAAGATAACGTTTGATAATTGAAAAGGATTTCGGAAAAAAATAGCAAAACAAAAATATACCCTAGGTAGCAATGTACCGTCCTCTACTTCAAAGAGCGTCAACATTTGGTTTTCGCCAGCTGTCACAAGTTGAGTTCCTTCCAATTTTTTCGAATCTAAAAAGTTTTTCTGATGCAACGGTTACTATCTAGATTGTATAAAGTGAAGGAACTGTTCCTAGCTATACCTGTATTGTTCGTGAGTAAAACGCTGCATTTGTATGCGCTTCCCTTCTCTCGACTATTTTCCAAAACTTTTTTGCCTTTCTTGTCCATAATTATGATCTCACCACTATATGTCGTAGAGAAGAAACTGAATGGAAGAATTTTAAAAACGGTATGGCTGAGGAAATAGGTCATTTGCAATCATACTGCGATGGAGAAACGATAACAGATGAAACCCAGTCAGGAGCAGGTATATCATGGAGTGGCTTGGGAATTGGTTTCCCGAGAACACATTCAATTTTGATAACGGTTTCCTAAACCAGAGAGTTTATTACAAATAGTGCACTAAAACAATAAAAAATAACTAATTGTATTTAAAAAGGAAAGATTGTACATACGGTTTCCACATCGTACTCTTCGATGAACTCCGCTAATGATGTACGAATAAATGTTTCGCCAACGAGGAATTCGAACCGTTGTTCGTTCCAATCATCTATAAATGGTTATACACATCTATAATGTAGAAAACTATTTGAAAAAAAGGCAGCTATCTTACCTTTGCTAGAAGAAATGGTTTTGTTGACTAGAGTATTTAAGTTTTCACAAGTGGCAGATACAGGAACATCAAATATTGCAGACAAACTATTGCTGATCCTTAAAAATGTCTCATAAGAACAACTGACAACAACAGACATTTGAATATCGAAAACATACGTTTGTTCCTCGCTGAAGAAAGACACCTGTACATGGCGCGTATCGCCAGAGCTTTGAAACTCTTCTGACCGATCTCCCATGTTTGAAGAAGCTGCCAGCAGGCTACAAGATTGAATTCTAATATATATATATATACCAAAATATATTCAGTCTGCTACTACCACGTTTTTCAAAATCTTCTCTAAAATAAATAAACTGGAGCTCTTAAGCACTTGCAACAACATCTAAGCAACATCACTTCGCTAAATAAGCGGAATATTTAAAAGCATAATTAAGCAGAAACTGTAATAAACTGCATTGCAAGACACCTGCTATTCAATAGTGCAGTGATTATAAAGAAACTAAAATCAAAACGAAAAACAAATTTGAAAACAAACGAAATTGCTTTCAGAACAGATAGCCGTTGGTTTGCGCTACTGTTCTGCAATTGCAGACCTATCCGCAACACCGTAATCGATGGTTTATTTGGATAGTTTTCAGGAACAGCAACAAAAATTCAGTACGAGAACTCAAGTCCTATCGTAATCCAGTCGTGACGCAACCCACCCCTGTCCATTCTATCAACCCCCTGTGTTCTAGCTCGAGGTCGCTTTTCGATGGGTTGTATATGCGATGCGTTGAAAAGTGTCGTTACGTAGGGTTATGCCGTGAAGGGAACTGTATTATGTGTAGAACCTGCGGTTACTGCAGGAGCTGTATGCCCAGGATGTGGTAACTTGCCCCGAAAATCGCATCGCGCTCGCCGCACCCGATCGCGAGCTTTGAATGGAACGGTTTGAATTTCCAGTGGGATGATACGGTAGTCGCCGAGGAAGTGTCGCTGCCGCTTGCCGTGGGAATTCGGGGAGAAGTACCGCACCCGTGTACCCGTACTGAACTTTGGTTTTTGATTCTTATGGGTGAAATGCTGTGGATATATGAAAAAGAAGTAGTCAGTGTTATCACACCCTTCGTAACGCTTTGCCTGGCGCTTTGCGGTGGTGCGAGTGGTAGTATGTTGCTAAAAAAATCGATACCACCAATCGATCATGCTAAAACGGAGTGATCTGAGTGTAGTGATGAGTATTGTTTGCCGGGGGTGAAGTTCATTTACTTGGCGTAGAAGCTGCGGGTGGTAAGAATTGCCGACGCTCCTCCCTCATGATCATTACCACTCAACCTGGAGCAGAGGATGCAGTGGGAATGGAAGCGGACAGTGCAGAGAGCGAAGTAATGGAAGAAGAAAGAAGTGGTACGTGATATTTTGTATGCACTTGAGCCCTCCGCCTTCTTGATGATGTTTGAACGGCTGGCCGACCCACCGTCCCCCTTTTCAGAACAAGTGATACCATGCTGGGTGAAAAAGTAGTTCGGGGGCCACCGCTCGTCTTCAACACTAGGCGCTAGAGCGCAGGGAATGAGGGGGCTGTGATGGTGCCCTCTAAGCAGGACCGGTGTGCTAACCAGCACCGCTTACAGTTTGAAAAGGAGTGAATCAGTGGTCAACTGAATGTTCGACTCTTCCCTCTATCCAGCATTTTGCAAGAGGTGACCGCACCCCCGTGCTTCTCCCTTGAGGATTAGTTTCAGAAAATTATATCCCACTGGCTGAAGAACGTTTCTAAGCACCATTACAAACCCGGCGGGCAGCACAATTACAGATCTGTGATTAGTCCGTCGGAGCCTTGAAAATGATACCTACCAATGTTGTCAATCGATGATAACATCATTATAATAACTTGCTGTCCATTGCCCTTCTCATCTTCACTTATATGAACCAAGGGTCGAGATTTTCCGATTATTGGGGTCGGATAGGTCCTGTCGCAACTGATGAAGAGAGAGAACGTGAGTGACCTTTTCTCTCGTTCTCATTTTCCAGGTGGCCCTGGGCTCCTAAGGCTACTTATCGACCATTACCACCTGTACACCTTTGTGTCACAAAACGTCTGCAATAATGTCAAATCCACGTCACCCACTATCACCTCTGGTCATTCACCATATGCATCATTGCTCTCAAGTTGAGCGCTTACTACAGAAGGACAAGATTTGTATTTCCGGTCGAAACACGCACCAACACACAGCAGGCACAGCTAGAGAATCTTGAAAAGCATGATATTAAACGGCAGTACAGTAAATGAAGGATTTGACTGTGAAAACAACTACCAGGGAGAAACGGCAGCTGCCCTCATCCACTCTTGACAGAATATGTGATATGCCAGAAGGTGAGAAGGTTGAGAAGGAAGTGGAGGACTCTCAGAAGGCCTGGTGTTACGTGGCTCGCAAGATTTCTGAATCCTGTGACCACTGAAAGTAAATTTGCAGATGCCTCGAGGAGCAGTTTTATTATGCTCGTATTCAGAAAGAAGGGAATGCGATTTAATGTTCCAAATACGAGAGCTCAGTTTCACTGCACACATGATTAAACTCTGCGAGCGACAGGCCGACTCAAGACTGAGGGAGTTGATTTCGATCTCACAGGAGCGGTCGGCTTATTACCAAAAAGGTCTACTATGGAAGTCATCTTTACAGCTGGATAAGTTATAAAGAAGTATCGAGAAAAGCGTAAATCCTGGTACCTAGTCTTCCCCAACTTGAAGAAGGCTCCCGCGGAATGTGCTCTAGAGAAATATTCTGAACGAAGAGCTCCAGGATACTTGATTTCTGATCAAAGAAATGAACGATAGGTCTAATGGGTTCATCCCACTGCTTAATAAACTCTCATACCATAGTAAGGAACATGCTTACACCTTAAGGGGCTTACCAAGGCTCCATAAGTGTCTAACTGCTCCCATTACGGCTTCTACGAAAAGGCATTAATTGTTCTATTGTCAACGTCCCTGTCCGTATACCCTAAGGGGAGACTAACCATAAGTATAGCAATAAAGTGTTACGGACTGCAATAGTAACTCAGCTAAGGGGAGACTAACCATAAGTATAGCAATAAAGTGTTACGGACTGCAATAGTAACTCAGAAGCGATTGGAAGGAAACCGTAGAATGGCGTTCATATGCAAAATGTTCAGTAGTAACTATGCCGGAGATTCAGGAGAAGAAAAACAAGAGAGGGATGATGAAGAAGAAAGTGAAGGTTCCGGAGGAAGCGACAGTCAACAAGGCACAAAATTGAGACGTCTTGCAGCTTCTACAGAACCAATATTATCTTTACTAGTCCCCTTGGCTGGTGTAGTTGTTAAACAAGTGAGTCCTAGCTAGCAGGTTTATGCATAATTATTGCGGATATTTTCAGCAAACTTTACTTGAGGAAACGATAGATATATCTAGAAAAATCATGTTCAAATGATTGCTCTGGAAGATATCCACCATCTACGTCAAGCACTGTTCCCCATTTGCTAGGGGGTCGGATTCCATAGACGAAGAAGTGTCGATTCTTAGGGGCGATCCACGCCTTGACGTCGGCCATCAAGCCATCCATTTCCTCGAAAGTTCTGTTCGCTAGCCAATTTTTCAATGGACGATTGACGTGATAATCCATAGGAGTTTCTGTAGATGAACAGGGCGAACATAGAAGCAGATTCAATTTCTCATCCTGTTCTATCCCCGAGAAGCTCGTTGAGATTACTTTATGACTGCGTCAGCTTCCAACCTTGCCGAAGTAATAGGGCATAATGTGGCGTATATCAAGATGAATTTTTAGACATATTAGGTTGGAAGATAAGTCCTGCAACACTTCAAACGAGTTTTAAAATTTGGATATATCTTTATCATTTATTTATTTATTTATTTATTTA